TCATTCATTACCCTGGCAAATGTCATCTCCCCTTTGACTTCAGTGCCATCCACCTTGTTCCCTCAGTGCCAATCAAAATGTAGCTATTCCAATTGCCTTTAGAGGAACTACTACACATCCAGCCCAGCTGCTATCCTTTCTCTGGTATCAAACACCAGTTATTGTTGTATTGAGACATTTTAAGACTCTGTTCTTCCAGATAATGAACCCCACACAAATGAAATCCAACTGTTTTTGATATTCAGTGGGTAAACACTATGGGTAAATTTATATTTATAATCTTGGAAATCTAGATTGTAGAGTCCTATTAATCATCCTAGATAATATTTTTGAAAAAAAAAAATTGCAAAGACTAGTTTGGTTGCTATTTATTTTTTTTTACATGCAAAGAGAAGTCCTAGACTGGTTGTACCTTTTAATATCTCTCCTCAAATATACTTTGCTGTGGTTAAAATGAAACTTTTGAATAAACACACAAGCAAATTATCCTGTTAGTACCAAGAGAATTGCATTAATTGTTTGTGTGAGAGATCCAAAGTGGAGAGTTCAGAATGTTAGTAGTGGCAAGTAGTCAAGATCATTGCTTCTTATATGCCTGCAGTGAATGTGATTGAAAATAATTTTTTTCTGAATGCTCAGTGAGGTTTATGGGATGAAAATATTGATCTCAGTCTACTGAGCTGGGATTAATTTCACCTAACTTCACATGTCTGACAACTAGACATCAAGGTGTGAATTATTTGCTGTAGATTGCCCGTGAGGTGAAATAGAGGGTTTCCTTGATCTATCTGGCTTCCTCCAGTAATTACGATGGGAGCCCAAGATGAGTTTCATAGATTTTGACTTTCAGATGCCTAAATTAGGGACAGGGTAATTCTGTCTTTACTGAAGGTGATGGATGACCCTGTGAGCTTAGCAGTAGCGTGCATCATGTGCTGTTAATGACAAGCTTAGTGGGGAGGCCTATGTGAATGTATGGACTGAACTCTGCTCTGCTTAGGGGATGTGTAGGACAAGCCCATTGGTGAGCTGCTCTGATTGTCACGTTCCTTTGTTTCTCCAATGAATTTTAGATGGAAAAAAGTAATCACATTTCTTCCCAAGAAGCTGCATATGAGCTGTGCAAACTATAGTGACTGTATGTGTTCTGTGTGATAATGCCTTGGTGTCATTTTGTAATTTGATTATGCATTTAAACTGTAAACTGTTAGAACTACTTTTTTTTTTCTTTGTTTTTTTTTGGTTAAAAAGTCTTTGTTTCACTGAGCCCAGTATTAATGTACTCCAGATTCTGTTTCTTTTGCAGAGTAACAGATGTTCACAGTTTGGTGCAATTTTCAGATGAGCAATGTTGTTTATAATAAATTTTCTTGAGACCACCCAACTCATTTCACTTGTAACTTGAACTGTATCCAACTGCTGATCTCAGGAGATGTAAGTGAGATGTAATAATTCTGTGCCTCGCCCAGTTCAAAAGACATGACTTAGTATAGATGGAATTTAAATATCTATACCTTCAATCAACATAGAAAGTCAAAGTTTTATCTTGCTTGCTGCAAAAAATGGTGGTGGAAATTGCAGCATTCTAGCTTTCACTCATTAAGTATTCATAGGGTGTGAGGATACATAATGACAAGATGTGCAGGAAATAAAATCAGAAAACAAAGATGAACAGGTGAGAAAACATAACACAGCAAGTAGAACAACTCCATTGAAGTTTTTCCAGAAAAAATGCAAATTTATTAAATACAGAATAAAGAGAAATATTGTATTAAATAAAACATGCAAGGAGATGTAGGGATAGCACAGAATGCATTGTGATTTGTTGGGAACAAGGGCAACGCATTGTTTGCTGCACAAACAAAACCACAGTGTGGTTTTCAGATGTCTATCTGGAATGTTATATTTAGTCTCAGGCATTTAACAGCAAAAATGTTGTTGATAGCAGTTAAATATGTTAGAAAGCAAATACTGAGGAACTTCGGGATACTGAAAGTGAACTTTAATTCATGTCTTTGCATTTATTAGAAGCCCTGTAGACTCAATTGTATCAGTTGTGTGAAAATATGGAATGTCTCCCCAAGGGAAAGAGGAGCACTGAATGACTTGAGAGTGTGAAAATTAAACAAACTGTTCTGAATTGGGCTACAAGAGGTACTGAATGAATCAGATCTCCTTTTTTTTTTCCCCTGACATTTATTGTGCTTTATACTTAACATTTAGTACAGTGTTATTTTGAAATTATAAACTGAGAACTCAGGAAAAAGCACTGTGAGGTTCCTATGGCAACCGTAGTGTGCACATTCTCTGTATGAATGTTGCAATTACTCTAATGTGACATTGTGTTACTGAGACCTGCTATTTGGCAGGTATGTATTTCACTTTGTGAATTAATTGATAAATTTAGAGATGGTTCTAAATGGCATGGAAGTCAATGAAACTTTTTTTTTTTCCTAATAGAATAACTACCCTGTGATGCTAGACATTATTCCATATTTCTTGAAAGCACCTTGTATGGAGCATTCCGAGATGCACTTCTTATGGTGTTTAGACACAGTAACACTCTGCCCTGTCCTCTGACAGCAATCATTCTCCAGTCAGATCACAAGGATTTTTCCAATGGTGTGCGGTTATGCTACAGCCACCAGTGTGTAAATACCCAGCCTAGGGGATGCTCTGATCCCCTGGCTCTCAATGGCTTTTGTGTTTGCTTAACAGCTCACCAGTAATAAAGTTGCTATTTAAGCATCTCCCTTTCAGCTGAAGCCAGAAATACCAAATGCAGAGGAAACAGTGTTGCTGTGAAGACTGCTGAAAGAGATTTTTTTTTTTAATTAAAAATAAACAAATTCATTAATTGCTATACCTCACTGGTCTTTTTTTTTTCTTTTTTCTTTTTCCTTTTTTTCTTTTTTCCTTTTTTTTCTTTTTTCTTCTTTCTTTTTCAGCTAGCAACCAAGGGCCAACTGCCCCTTTCAACTGCTGTGTGTTGGTTGTTACTGAAATTCTAGCCTTTCTCATTTGGAAATGAAAAAATATTTTGTCACTGCCTTGGTTACACACTCCGTGATAGATATTAGAATCTTCTTTTTATAGTCTAATACTACTCTTGACCTGAATATGTCCCTGACTTTTGAAGAATGACCTGGCCTGCTCTGCAACAAAAGGCCTATGCATTTAAGGCTTAAATGTTCCCTGCCTCTGCTTATTATTTAGTTTTAAAATAATCTTATGAGGAATCAGTTGCTTTGTTATTTTTTCTGTTACTCTTGCAAAAATAAGAGAAATGTTGGAATTTATATTAGAAGACATATGGATGTAACTCTCATTCCAGCTCTAGCTCTGTTTCCCAGGAAATGAATCAGAGCAGCATGAAAAACATCTAGAGCTCCTATATCTGCTGCAGAAAAAGTGAAGACAGGGCTACATTCTGTCTTCTTAAGGCAATGACTGCTATGGATGTGCAGAGCTGTGCTACGGGATTTTTTTAAGGGAGTGGAATTGGAGCAAAAGTGAATTCTTCTGGTGGGTCTCCAGTACACAAACCTGGACAAATTCTCCTCTGGGCCATTGCTTACAGTTACGTAGGAAGGCTGCTGAGACCATGCATGGCTGCTGGGGTTGTAGCATTGCTGGTGACCAAGTGGCTGCTGTGGCACTATTAGAAGCCCTGGGGCTCTGCCTGGGCTGGGAGCACCAGCAGGTGCAGCTCCCATCTGCACAGGAGAAGTGCAGAGGCATGTGGCTGGAACCATGCCACCCTGCTGCTAACCCTGCAGTCCACCAGGAAGTCCTCACCTACCTCAGAGCTCCTGCTGCTGTCTCACTGGTTATTTTTGAAAAGTTTGACTTCAGAGCATTGGGTTTATTTATGAAAAAAAAAAAAAGCAAATGTATTCTCAAGTTACATTTTCAGCAGTTATTCGTAATGGCAAAGCTTATGGGTTATTAGTGAACTGCAGGGTCATGTAGCACTGCAGCTACTAATAAAGGTGGACCAGCCCTATCTCTTGTGAGTAGGGAGATTAGAGTAGCACATGCACCAATTTCTCAAAAAAAACCATATTAATTATACTTAATTTTGCTGTTGCTTTCTTTAGGGAAGTCATACAGACTTGCTGTGACTACGTATTTTTTAATTTCCTCCCTCATTTACATTGTGTGCTGCTATTAGTCAGTTTAAACTAGAGCTTGTCTGAGAATTTTCCATCAGAACTGACATCAGTTGCAAATGTCTGTAAAGCAAATATATCTAAAGAAAAAGTTGTACTGAAGGTTGTTTATTTATTTATTTGTTTGTTTGTTTGTTTGTTTTTTGTAGATACCTTTCCTAGCAGGAAAATCGAAGCATGCTATTCTGCTGGGATAAGGTCATTCTGAGTGATTGACAGTATTTTGATTTACTGAATTGCTCTCATGGATTTTATGTTCATGTTAGTGGAAAAAGAAGAAATAAACTCTTGAAACTGTATGGCCATACACATCTATGCTGTAACTTTGCTGCATAGAAAATGATAATTACAAAGCATTTTCCAGGAAAAAGCGTGAATGAATTTCTTCTTTCATAGCTGAGTGTGAGTGACAGACAAAGGTACATTTTGTCTGTGTTTATAAAAACTCTTCTGCAAAAAGAATGTACTTACAGGTGTTTTGTCAGATGCAGAGTTGCGCCTGTTCTCATGTTTTGGAAGGGACAAATATGTTACACTTTTCATGCTAAGGAAGAGCAACCAAGGGAACGTCACTTATTAAAAAAACCAAAAAAACAATATTATCTAGTTGAGTGAATCCTGAAGTTTGATCTTAGTGTTAATACAATCAGGAGATAGTAGGAGCCACAGGAATTAATGTCTTTCTGTCATAAATCAGTGCTAATAATTATTTGAGTATCCAAATATCCAGTATCCAAGACTGTGAAAGATAAAAATACTGTTAATATTTTTATACTTCTATTTTATACTGCTACATCCAGTTTCAAAGTTTTGTCTTTTTTCTTTCAGAATGATCAGTCTATGCAAGATATGCAGATAATGGGAGGAGATGATCTTTCAAAGCTGACTGGAAAGGTTTGTTAATTTTAAAATTCAGAAAGTAAATCCATCCACTACAAGTGGTTGAGAAAAGCTGTGTAATTTTGCACATGAACTGTCATTTTCAAGACAGATACTAATACTGCAATCAAAGAAATATATTCATCTCCACTGAATTGCTGTAATGCCATTGCATTCAGATTGCAGATGCCTCCAAAGGTCAGAAGTGGCCCCTTCATCCCAATAGTGTAGGGATTTGCCAAATAGTTCCATGTATACCATCACTGATACTGCGGGCAAAAATTGTGCTGGAATGCCTCCCCAGGGCTTATTTGTGTTCTGAGCCTTGTATTTTCTACTCTTGGTGGGTGCATGCAAGCAAAGTGCAGTTTGAGTATCCCTGTCAATTTCAGCATATGAGGGATTTAAGATAATTTTGCCTGCTGTACAAAGTGCAGCAGTAGTACCTTTCACTCAGCTAATCAAATGGGATTTTTTTATTTCAACATCAGGTGGTCTGTATGACTGAATTTGCTTTGCACTATGATTATACACTGTGGTAATGAAATGGAGTGGTTTGAGCCAGTGAAAAGGCTATTTTCATCCAACCATGATGATACAAAGCAGTGCTTTGAAGAGGAAGGAAGGCTGATTTCATTAGGCAAATGGTCTGTGTGGAAAATGGTCAGAAATGGATTCTTTACTTATGCATTAAGGCAACATAATACTAGTTTTGTTATTCGTACTGTTCATGCAGTTACTTTTGTATTAGTTGGCACTAAATATCTTCTTCAAAGCAGTCAAATGTAGCTAGCACTAGCTATCTCATGTGCTTTGTTGTACTGTCGCACACGAAAAAGAATAGAAAAAGTAAATGTTGAATATTTCTTTAGTATTAAATAGATCTGGATGCAGCTAGAACTTCAATAAAAAATGCTAGTATTCTCCAAATATCTTAGTGATACGCATGTCCTCAGTTTACACTTCTAAATTCTGATGGGTGGGTGTTTTTTGCAAATTATCCTGAAAGCGTTCATCATGTTCTTGTGAAATAGTAATTCATTTGCTGCTCTCTAATACCAGTTGCTGGAGTAACCTGTTCTTCTACAATGGTTTTACATATGTTTCTCTACTTCACAGGAGAACTGTCAGTGCACCTATAATTTCTCCTTCCCAGGTAGTCCAAGCCCTTTCTTATCTTCTTGGCCAGCCCCTTTCTCATCTTCAAATGCAAATTTTTCTTGATGAGACCCTGGTGAGACAAATCCTAGTTTCGGCTGTTTATATCTTTTCCAGACACAGCCTAGCATAATTTGAATTCTCTGGGGCAAAATACTACTTTTTGTATTGGATCTTTTGTGTACATATACATGTGAGTGAGAAGGAAAAATTTAGCCCAAGTAGTTCTGCTCCTGCCAAAAATGAAGTACTGTGTTTCCTCATATTGAAAATCCTGGTGACCTTTTCTTATTGGCACTACCCCCTGCTCCCAGGTTTGGAGCAGAGACAAAAGATGTGGCTATCGAGAAGCTAGAAGGAGAAGGCCAAGAAGCAGTAATGTTTGGGATTGTGTTGGGAAAAGAGACAGGATCCTGGATAAGTGTGGATGCGCTGATTTGGGAACCACAGTGGTTACTGATTAGGGATGAAGCCCTTTGTTAGAAGCTGGGTGCAGAGAGGCTGGAAAGGAGAATGGGATGGGATGAAACAGAACATGGTCTGACTTGCTGAAAGGGCATGTACAGAGGTTGTATGTGTGGTTGTCTCTGCTGATGAGTGAACAACTGAATTGCACTGTCACTAGAAGACGTGAAGATGGGGTTTCCTTAAGACCTGTTTTTCTGATTGCAGATTTGAACAAGGCTTGAGCTCAAATGCTTGGACTTGTGCGTCTAACGTTGGATATATGAAGGAGTAGCCTTATGTCCACTGATGCCAATTCTTCCATCTGTTGTTGACTTAAGCAATTAGTGGAAGTATTTAGCATGTTTTGCTAATCAATCATTTGTGGACTGATTCAGAGCCTCCAACAGTCAGTGTAAATCTTTTCCTGAAGTGTGTTTTAGTACCTTAGTTTAGCTTCTGGCTTTTAAAACTGCTGGCTTTAAAGACACTGGATGAATTAGTGGAAGGCTTATGGGTGGAATTCAACTTTCCTGCTTCTAAGTCAGCTAAATGCTTCTGACTTCTTGGAACACTTATTATAGAAAATTGTAATTATATTGAAAAATTAATATGGCAGGTTAAATCATATTCACTAAATAATCATGGAAAGTGTTTCTGAGAGTGCCTGTAAGTTCCATTAACTTTTTGTAAGACTAGAGGCCATAAATAACTTCTAACAGAAAAATACAGAAAAGATTCTGAGATTCAGATCTTAAATTGTTCTTCATTAAGTAATAATACCTTGAACTATGACTACCCAAAAATCTTAGTGAAAAGCTGAATCATTTCTTTGTGTGGAAAAAAAAAATTAAAAATCGAGTATAATTATGAACATGCTATGCTGTAACAATGCTTTTTTTCTTAGAAAGCTTAAAGACAGTTAAACTTTTTTTAAAAAGAAAATTTAAAAAAATAGCAGTTAAGGGTAAAAGCTCTTTGGAAGGAAGAATTTCTCCTCTGTATCTCTGTAGAATATGCTCTTGTTTTGAAAATATTAAAAGACCAGAAAAAAAATGTATAATGATCCAAATAATGAAAAAGAGAGGTATTAACACAGAGACCCAAACTACCTGAAAAGAGGTAATCCACAATTTGACATTCTTATGTGAAGAAGGTCACAGAAGCAAAAATTAAGATTTCAGTGATAAGAACTATCAGTGAAGGTACTTGGAAAATGAGTCCTGATACTTAAGACTCTAATGCTTTGTAACTGTTCATTTCTATGCAGATAAAATGTAATTTCATTACATCTCCTTTAAGGTTGAAAGTGATGAACGTAAAATTTCTCAGTAGTTAATTTCATAGTTAGGCAAATACTTAGCTTTCAATTGCTCTATAGTTAAAATGTTCATGTGGGTAAAAATTATCATGAGTATTTGTAAAGATGGATACATTTTGAAAACAGGAGGTAATTACTGCACAGAAAACTAGAGGTGCTGTTTCAAAGTGAGGTGGTAATGAAAGTTTATATAGATTGGGTAAAAACACTAATAATATAATGCTGTTTAGTATTAATACTGTAATCATACTTTATAATATACTAATGATTCTTCACACTAGAAGTGTTGTGGAATTTATAGAAAATAAATTTTGAAACAGATAGAAATTTTAGTAGATCCAGCTGGACCAGTGTTGTGAATTATCATTGTCATTTACTTCCTTTATTTGTAATTGTGGGTTTTTTTTTTCTTAGTGTACTGTACGTTACTTCAGGTTTGTGTCTTTGTTGGAGAGAAATGGAATTATAATTTTAATCTGATATCCAAAACTTTGGGAATTACGGAGATCAGAGAGAATTAATCCAAGAGTTTTGGAGCTGGGTACAGAGTCCAAAGTCTCCACTGGCAGAGGTTATTCTGCATTTCATTCCAAATGTAATCCGTCCTTTAACCGTCAAAAAAGTTCCTACACCATGTCAACTTGAATCCATGCAAATGAGGCACGTTAGACAAAATCACAAACTTACAATTTTAGAAGCACGTATTCATTTAGTTGGGATAATAAATTTATTTTCAAAATTACACCAATATAATTATGTAATTATCACTATTTGTATTTAACGGAGAGCATGAACAAAATTAATTTTTCTTATTTGTTAAGTTACCAAGAACTTCTAATTAAAAAAAAACCTAGCAACCTAGTTAGTATGATATAATTATGGAGTCCATGAATGTTCCAGCTGTCTGTAACATGGATCAATCTTTATGTTATTTTTGGAAGACTGTTTCCCTTAGTCATGCTAAACATATCATTTTGACAGCCAGTGGTTTTAGCATTTTTGGAGAAGATCAGAAGATAAGATCAAGAGAAATAATGAAGGCCAATATCTTTTATTCTCTATGTGCTTCATTGCATTTGTTTAAGCATTTCATCACTATTGTAATGCTTTCCTGGAAGAACTGATCAGCTCATATTAAGACAAGGTTTCACTCAGAGGAAGGTGTCCACCATTCAGTAGTCTGCACTTCTTTTTAGCAAGATATGTCATAGCAAATCTGTAATACACCTCACCTAAATAAATATACCCACTGTCCACCATTTTCCTGCCCCACTTGTCATATGGGAATACGCTACTGGAGCATAATGCAATTTCTCTCTTATGACTTATGTCTCTTATTTCTTCTCTTACTTTACACAGAACTTGCTCTGTTCGTCATAGATTGTAACACACATAAGACCATTACTGCCATAGTATATAAGATGAAAGGTCTGTTTGGGCTCGTTTTATATCTTCAGCAGCACTTAACTGGAATCTTACTAGGAAAGGATATGTGAAACACAGCTGGTACATAGACTTTCTAAATCAAAGTTACTTCCAGGCTATCATTCTGAGTAGATCCAGTGCTAGAATTGCTATTCCATCTGTCTAATCTTCTAGTAATTCCAGGTATGCCTCTAACAGTCCTATAGGATCCTGCAGCAAAGAGTTTCACATATAAGATGTATAGGAAAAGTTGTTGTTCCTTCTTTTGAGCTTGCTGTCTGGTTACCTTCTATGGGCTTTACAAAACCTACAGCAGCTCTTTTGAATTACTGCCTTAAAATTCTACAAATCTGGCTACATTATTGTCCATTTTTCTTTTTTTTTTTTTCTTTATTTATTTTTGTTTTCTTTTAAAGATCCAAAAGTACTGTTATGTTCTTGTTTGAGCCACTGGATAATTTAGATTGAAGGGTCTCACCCACCAATTTCTTCAATGTAGCTGCAGTTTCTCTTTGGAGCTACCATCTATTTTGAAGTCCAGCTTTAACACCTTGATGGAGAAGCCCCCAAACTTCACGAGTATTTTACTAACAGTTAACTGTCATCACTGCTGAAATGCGAACCTAATTTTCCCATCTGAATTTGGTCAGCTTTTTTGCTGACCACA